AACCCTAAACCCTAAACTCCTCACCCGGACTGCGACCATGAAGCCGACGCCGTTTCTCCTGGCGCTGCCACCCCTTCTGAGCTCTGAGCCTGCCGAAGTCTCCCGGCTCTCGTTTGGTCTGCTTACAAGGGTTTAGGGTTTAGGTTTAGGGTTAGGATTTAAGGTTTTTGGGTGTAAGGTTTGTATGGTTTAGGATTTTTAGGCCTTGGGGCCGTAGGGTTTAAGGCAGTTTAAGGTTCAGAGCTTGTAGGGTTTAGGGATTAGGATCCTGCCGTTTGCAGGTTTCAGAAAAAAACAGCAACAGGGAACTCTAAGTAAGCCCCGGAATCGGAGGATCCTTCATATGAGTATTTCTCTAAATTAGGGTCCCTTTTGGGGGTCCCCAATATAGTACGGCACCCTCATAAAAAGTACCCCCAAAGGGACCCTAGTTTTGAAAACTACCCATATCCAGGGAATCCACCCAGTTTTCTGAAATCCCTAGCGGTCGGAGTAATGAGTCCAGGAGTCATGGCATCCCCTTCCAGCCTAAACCCTAAACCCTAAAAGCCCTACACCCAACATAAATGTATTACGTTATACCCCAGAGACGTAGTCCAATGATCCCGGCCTGTATATTCGCCCCCCCCTGATAGTCGGAAGCTTACATCTGGAGACTTTTGTGTTGTCGGGTTTCGGGGCTGCAGTTTTATCGCTTCGAGGGGGGTTATTGCGCTTCGTGGCTGGGCTTGGCATGACTCGTGAGAAGGTAAGTTCATGTCCAACACCCTAAGGGTCCATGTACCCAAATAGTAGATACTTTGGCCTTGAAGTAGTCCCCATTTGGGTACTTTGGGGCCAAAGTACCTATTATTTGGGTACATGGACCCTTAGGGGCATGCTTCATGAGCCAGACTTTGGGTTTTAGTGCAGACTGCCAGCTGTCCCTCAGGTATGCTGCTTCAAGAAATCTGACATCTCTTCGCGGAGTATCTCCAGCTCAGCAGATGTATTGATAGTTGACAACTTTTTCTGCGCATCTTTCCTGGATTTCGCCCGGAAGCTGGCAGAAGTCTTTTACGACCAGGGGTGGTTCGAGTCGACCTCCACCTTTCCAGGTGCCACGGTTCTAAAAAACAAGGAAAGAGAGCCGGAAATCCTAAGCCGTAAACCCCAAAGCCCACAGAAAGCCATACCCTAAACCCTAAACCCTAAACCTAAACCCTAAACCCTAAATTCGGAGACCTGCAGAAAGAGCCCAAATCTCTAAATCCGAATCCTTGGTGCACCTAAACAGAAAGGCCGACAATCCCAACGCCCAAAACCAGCTAAAGCCTAAGCCCTCAAGCTCCACAGCCTGAAACCATAAACCCTAAATCCCTAAATCCCTAAACCCCAAATCAAAAAAACAACAACAACAAAAATACTAAATCCCAGCCTACGCTGCCGAACCTGTGATCTCCACCTGCTCAGGTGCCGAGTTCTATTTCAAAAGGCTCCAAGAGGAGCCTAAGCTTTATGCGAAGCTGGGCGCTTTGCAAGGAAGGTAACGTAGGGGCCTAAATGGCCTAACTAATTACAAATAACATATATATATATATAGATATAGATATTTTTTGCGGGCTTACTATAGTTTCAAGATAGTACAGTTATAATGTACCCCCCAAAAAACCTATTCTAATTATTAATAAGGCCTATATCTTGGCTTACTTTGCTGTGTATCGTACATCTGCTTCAGTCGCATATGTTGTATTGTGTTTTGGCTTCTGGCTTGCTTATTCATGTATTTACATGTTTTGTTTTCTTCTGAGAGGGATATGGTATGAATGTAGTTGCAGAGAGAGAGAGAGAGAGAGAGAGAGAGAGAGAGTCAGAGTCGGAGTGTATGTGCAGTTTTCTGTTTGATCATGCACGTTTGGGACATAGCAGGCTTTCCGCTGACCCTTTCTGAATTTCGAAATTTTTTGGAAGAGCCCAGGAAGGCCTCCAAGAAGGTCAATGAAGGAATGCTTGGTGTCTTCCTCCGTGGCGAGTGTCTCGGATCCGGTAGGGCCTTTCCCGGTAAGGGCTTTGCGGATGAGGGCTCTCAGGGATTAAACTAGGGTTTGGGTTAACGGTTCGGGATGGGGGTCAAGGGGTTTAGGGTTTAGGGTTTGCAGGGTTTAGGGTTTAGGGCTTAGGGTTTCGGGGTTTAGGCGCTTGGGGGCTTAGGGGCTTTGGGGTTTAGGAAGGATCGCGTACTTGTCTTGGTCGCCCCCAACCAAACAGCACGAAAGCGGAAGGTTTCCTCAAAAGGCGAACCTCAAAGCCAGAAATAAATACAAAACATCCAGTATAGGGGCCTACATAATTACCTATTTTTTTGGGGGGGGGTTCCTTATTATAAATCTAGTATAGTAGGGCCCAAAATAACCCTATTCTAATTATTAAGGCCCCTACCTTCTACCCCAAAAATCTTTAAACCGGAAGCCGCATAGCCCCTAAACCCAAAGCGCTCTTCCCCTCAACCCCCCATCTCCTTAAACCCCCAATCTCCTAAACCCTAAATCCCATGTCTCCTAAACCCTAAACCCTGAAACCCTACATCCCCTAGACCCTTAACCCAAAACCCCATGTCTCCTGAAGCCTAAACCCCATATCTCCTAAACCCTAAACCCTTGTTGAAGGTATTTGGAATGCCTTGGCAGAGCTGCCTTCGAGACGGACTTCAGCCTCAATCCGAACTGGAGGTCTCCCAGGAGCTCAGATTTGAATGGGTTCTCACAGAGGGATTTAGGGCTTTTGTGTGTTTTTTCAACTGGGTTTAATAGGGTTTCGGGTTTCGGGTTTCCATCGATTTTAATCGGGAGGGGTTCCTCAAAAAAAGGGGGTTAGTGTTTAGGGGAGTTGATGTTAGCAGAGTTGAGCATAGAGGGTTCCCAACAATGGTTTGATCTCAGATCTTCCTAGGTTTTAACATAGGGGGTTCCCCAAAAAAGGGTATCGGGTTTAGGGCCAACGGCTTCTATAAAGGGGACTAGGTTTTTGCCGAGCTCTCCAAGAATTCCTGGCTTTAGGACTGTAGGGTAGGGCTCCTTTTGGGGGTCCCAGGTTTGAGAGAGACTAAGGTCTTGGGTTAACACATCAGGGTTCAGGGTTAAGGGTTTAGGGGACATCGGGGTTCAGGGCTTAGGGCTGGAGGGTCTCAGGACACAGGAGCTCGGCTTGTTGGTTGGTTTAAGCGTTTAGGGCTTTACGGTTTACGGTTCAAGGCTTTCGGGTTTTGGCCTTCAGGGTTTTACGCTTTCGGGGGATGTGGGGCTTTAGGGTTCTGAGAGTATATATGCTTCGGGGTTTAAGGTTTTAGGGGCAGGGTTCTCTCGCCCAGGAACTATTTTGATGCTGCGGGCATTTTCAGCATGCAGAATCAACCTCCCAATGTGTCTCTGGTGCACGTTGACTGGGAGTATGCCGTGGTGAACATACATTTGAGCACTGCCGCTAGCCTTACTCTGAGACTGTTCACAATTCAGATTACGTCGCTTGTATAACCAGTTTCGACTCTTCGACTATCTTTGAAGATACTGTTGCCGTTCGGCAGACTGATCTGCGTCCCGTGAGCGTCTGCAGAAACCCCCTTCGAGCCTAAACCCTAGCAGAAAAGGACGCCGTGGAAGCTTGCGTGGATTTAGTTAAGCCTCATTTGTTAGATCATGTTGTTGCTTGCCATGCCCTGTTTTCGATGTAAGAAGAAGATTCTACAACCTGAGGGCCCGGTCTCAACGTGAGACCCAGACCCTGAAAGCTCCCCTCAAACGTTGAAACTACAGGCCTTCAACGACACCGGCACTGCCTTCTACAAGTCCAAGCGCGGCCCAGCGGTGTGCATGGAGGCGATGCTTTCATGCTACCACTAGCCGCTGCCGCTGCTGCTGCTGCTGCTGCTGCTATTGCTCCTTCTACTAACTACTTATACTACTACCACTACTACTACTACTACTACTACTACTACTACTACTACTGCTACTACTGCTACTACTACGACGACGGCTACTACGATGACTTCGACTGCGACGACTGAATGCGACAACGACGACTACGACAACTCCGCCCGTGACGACGACGACTACTACTACTGCTAGTACTGCTAGTACTTCTAGTACTACTACTACTACTACTACTACTACTACTACTACTACTACTACCACCTACTACTACCTACTACTACTACTACTACTACTACTACTACTACTACTACTACGACTACTACTACT